GGGACCTTGGGAGACAGGCTTTCAGATGTATGTTCCTGCCTCTGACCTTACACTACCCCAATGTAGACTCCAAACAGGCATGTGAGGTGTCTTTGGAAAGGCCCAGGGCACTGTGGCCAGGATTTACATTGGCCAAGTTATCATGTCCATTTGCACCAAGCTGCAGAACAAGGAGCATGTGATTAAGGCCCTATGCAGGGCCAAGTTCAAGTTCCCTGGCTGCCAGAAGATCCACATCTCGAAGAAGTGGGGCTTCACCAAGTTCAATGCTGATGAATTTGAAGACATGGTGGCTGAGGAGTGGCTTATCCCAGATGGCTGTGGGGTCAAGTACAGCCCCAGTCATGGCCCTCTGGACAAGTGGTGGGCCCTGTACTCATAAGGGCTTCCACTGTGTTGCCCCTTCTTAACACTCACCAATAAATTCTACCTCCTGTCAAAAAAATAAAATAAAATAAAAAATAAAAAATAAAAAGAAGCATCAGACTGACTTCAAGATATATTACAAAGCACTTATAACCAAAACAGCATGGTAGTCACATAACAACACGTTGACCAAAGGAACAGGACAGAAAGCCCAGAAATAAACCCATGCATTTATAGGCAATTGAGTTTTGACAAATGTGCCAAGAACATACAATGTTGAAAGGACAACCTCTTCAAAACTGGGGAAACTGTTCATCTCATGAAGACATCTATGAGGATTGTGTTTTCTTAAGAACAGAAGAGGTAACAACAAATAAAATGATAAAAGGGAATGAGGCATACTGAAGTGGCTTCATTGTCTAGGGTAATACCTGAGACTCATTCCCTCACAGCCACGGAAAGCTATGACTCAGACCACCACAGTGAAGTTAGGAGCAGAAGTTTAATAGGTGAAAGAAAGAGAAGAACTCTGCACAGAGAGGGGTCCCAGAGAAAATGGGTTGCTGCTTCCACGATGAAGTACAGGAGGTTTTATAGATGAGCTTCAGGAGGTGGAGGTTTTTTTTACATAGGGCACAAAAGATCGGTCAGACCAGGTGTGCCATTTGCCTAACATGCAAAAATCTGGCCACCCCCATTCTAATCTTTTATGCAGAAATCTGGCGCCACGTTGCCTGTTTCTTTACTGCACACGTGGTGACAAAGAAAAGGGAAGATGGAGCCTCTGGGTTGAACACACCTGGCTCTCAGGTAGTGCCCAATTTCAGGCCCTCATCTTTGTTTGGGGTTCTCCAGAGCAGTACCTACAGAAAGAGTTTGAGTCTTGCTTCCCACTTAACCACTAGAAAGCTACCTAAAGTATGCATCTAACCATCTCACCATCAAAGTTAAATAAAAATAAAACCAGACTTTTTTTTTGGTTTAAGAACCACCGCCTTAGCAGGATACCACAGGACCTCAGTGACCTGGTGGCTGCTCCTGACTCCATCTGTAAAGGAGTTTCCCACTTATATTTCCTGCATAGACTGTGGAGTGCCCTACCACAGGACTTTGAGTAAGCTGACCCGTTATTAAAATGCTAACCCCCCTGATTTTGATCTACACAACACCTACTCTTCCTTTCTGTAAGGACTTTGCTCTGGCATCACTTTCAGAAAATTTCTCTGTAGCCTCTATTCCTTGTCCTGAATTGGATTCTCTTCTTTTCTCTGCTCTCATGAGTGCATCCTTCTAACAAATCCTTAGCCTATTTTATTATCTCCTGTTGTGTCTATCTCCATGACAGGGCTTGAAGGCTTCCGCAGGCAGGGATCATGTCCTATTTTTATTTCTGTATCCATTGCCCATAGCATAGGCTATTAATGAATATTTACTGAATAAATAATTTTGTCTTCTTCCTGACCATTTGGAAGAAATGTTGCATTCTCAATAAGATGTTTAGTATTCTTTGTAAATGTTCTAGGAAACAGTATAAGGTACTTTGAGTTTATTTCCATCAATTCGCCAAATTTCAGAATTCTATAGCCACATGTAACAAGCAAAACTAAGACAAGAGATGCACACTTGGCAGTCGGGGCCAAAATGTTATTAGCACTTTCTCATTTGTGCCACTGATGTACAATCATGTCTTTGTAGAAAGAGACATACATTTCCACGGAAATTGTAGCACAGATCACATACCAACTCTGAATCGGTTAATCTTTCTTCAACACCATAAAAATTATTTCTACCAATAACATTGTAATCCACACATTATTACTGAAGAATTTTTATTAATTCAAAAGTGATCATCATTTGGTAGTCAGTGACATCCAGTCTTCTAAATTTTCAGAGGTCATTTTCCCCAGCTCTGAAATGAATGAAATATATTCAAGAAAAAACAAAAACAAAACAAGAAACTTATTTGAGAAGGACTTAGCAAGGTCAATTTTGCAAAATATCAAACTTAAATTCATAAGTATAAAAATTTTGATTTGAACATGTAAAGACAGCACAGTCCATTCCTTTCAAAGGTCTGTATCACTACACAATTTATGGAATAAACTACACACAAACAGCCAGTGGCAATATCAGAAATGCAGCAGCCAAACCAAAATCAATTATTCACATAATAAGCCCCTGTCAATCATTAGTTAAAAATAATGTGCATGAGTGTAACAGAGAAATATGTTAAAATTATTGTGAAATTTGACTCCTTAATATTTCTTTGACAACACATGTTCTTAAACATTATGTAAACTCAGGAAGGTGGTGAGGGGCCTGTTCTCTCTGGCAGCAGGTGATATATCTCCTCTCTGTCACTGAATCTCAAAGGAAGCCAAACAAAATGGAGGAGAGAAAGTCTGGCAAGAGATGAGCACTAACCTAACTTTAATTCTCTTCCCCTGTTTCTGAGTGCTCAGATGGGGCATGTGGCTCATTATACATTCATGAAAACATTTCGCCATTGTGTGCGCCTACCAAGACAATCGATTTAGACAACACAATGGCTTGGGAGTGATAGGGCCACACTCCAAATTTCAAAAGTACCAGGACACACAAAATCAAAACACACTATTTTTGTGATAATTGAATTTCACTCAGTTTTAGCCATACAAAAAATGAAAAATAAGGGAGTTGCTTCCAATTGCAATTTTAGAAAATAATGGAGGTGGCAAGAATCAGAAATACACACTCACCATTAACATTCAGAAATAATTTGTGTCAACAGTTTTATATATATGACATACGTATGTCCTTATTTTAAGAAGCATAAATCTCTTTAAAGCTAAAGAATTAGGTGAAAAACAACAGCTTTCAATGTTTTATATCTGCAGGGTAGCAAATTGTCCTTAGGGACAATTTTAATATATGCCACGAAGAACATTTATGCAAATGATACCTTCCCTAGAGCCGATGTTAAGAAAAGACTTCCTAAGTAAAATTGTTGTCTTGACTCATGAAACTTAACCCAGCTAAAGGAAGATGTACACTGGCCTCTTGCAATGTCTGAACTGGTTGAATCTAGTGCTTTTATTTGCAAAGGTGAGCACTGAGGTTTTGCTTTTAATGAGAGCAGCCATTTTCTTTCTTTTTAATGCAGTTCAGGGTTGCTCTATCACATTCAACAACAGTTTCCAAAGAATCTACCTTTAGAAGTGACAGCATAAGCAGCTACTGAGTGGCTATTGTTTTCTACTAAGATAATTAAGATTCATTGAGATTCCTGACACATCACTGATCTACATATGCTTAATAAAAATTATACATAATAATACAGAATTTCTATAAGGGAAATCTGAGACTCATTGCTTCTGGGTTTTGCTTATTTTTTTGAGATGGAGTTTCACTCTTGTTGCCCTGGCTGGAGTGCAATGGCACAATCTCGGCTCACTGTAACCTCCGCCTCCCAGATTCAAGTGATTCTCCTGCCTCAGCCTCCCAAGTAGCTGGGATTACAAGCACATGCCACCACGCCCAGGTAGTTTTTGCATTTTTAGTAGAGAAGGGGTTTCTCCATGTTGATCATGCTGGTCTCAAACTCCTACCTCAGATGATCCACCCACCTAGGCCTTCCAAAGTGCTGGGATTACAGGCATGAGCCTCTGCACCTGACCTTTTTTTTTTTTTTTCCTCTCTTTAATATTAGCAACTCTCCCCTTTGCTTGTCATGTTGCACCACAAAGGGTTGATAAAGTACACAGAGGAATTACTGGGATAATACCAGACAAGTTCCATTCACCAGTAAATAGAAAGATTAGACAGACACTCAGATGTTAAGAGAGTTGTTCAGACATGGAGTGTATGGTTTAATAAGAGCTTTGGAATATGTAGAAATAATATTTATTCTGTTGTAGAATTCAGGATTTGTATAACTCCCTGGGAAACGCAGATTATTATTTAGATACATAATAAACAATATGAATCAAAGAAAAATGACAAGATTTTAGCTCATGTTTCCTCGTTCTTAGCCGCTGTTAGAGTAGGCAGTTATGCAGACATGAGTAAAGCAGGAGAGATGACCCCCAGGAGTGTCAGGTGACCATCAGGTGATGGTCTCTATCTATCTCTGTAAACTATCTCTGTAACATAATAATTGTAACATAATAATTGGTTGCAGCCAGCGCCAGGGAAAGACAGTCTCCCAATAGACAGAAAATACCTGACGCTGGTGATCAGCAGCTTCCCATAAGATCTCTCAGGAGTTGGATGACTGCGCTCCAACATGGCACCAAGAAACAAAATTGCACATTTTAACTGGTATATGACCTTTCTCTAGGAATGGTCAACCGGTAATGGAAAACGCCTCAAGTAGGAACAACAGACACCAGGCCCGGCTGACGGGTCAGGGGTGAGGGGAAGGAACTTAGAGGACGGGTCAATAGGTGTAGCAAACCACCATGGCACACGCACACCCACGTACCTACGTAACGAAGCACCGCGGCACCCGCGTACGTACGTAAGGAAGCACCGCGGCACCCGCGTACGTACGTAAGGAAGCACCGCGGCACCCGCGTACGTACGTAATCAAGCACCGCGGCACCCGGGTGTCTACCTGACAGAAGCACCGCGGCACCCGCGTACGTACGTAAGGAAGCACCGCGGCACCCGCGTACGTACGTAAGGAAGCACCGCGGCACCCGCGTACGTACGTAATCAAGCACCGCGGCACCCGGGTGTCTACCTGACAAAGCACCGCGGCACCCGCGTGCCTACATAACGAAGCACCGCGGCACCCGCGTACGTACGTAAGGAAGCACCGCGGCACCCGGGTACGTACGTAACGAAGCACCGCGGCACCCGCGTACGTACGTAACGAAGCATCGCGGCACCCGCGTACGTACGTAATGAAGCACCGCGGCACCCGGGTGTCTATCTGACGAAGCACCGCGGCATGCGGGTGCCTACCTGACGAAGCACCGCGGCACCCGCGTGCCCAGGTAACCAAGCACCGCGACACATGCATATCTATGTAACAAACCTGCACATTGTGCACATGTATCCTAGTTTTCTTTTTTTTAAGACATTTAAAAAAAATAAAGAAAAATGCCTCAAGTGAGCATGCGCACAACTTCTATAAACACCCTGAGCATGTGGCCCCTCCCAAGTGCTGACAGGCCTCTGCCCTTGCAGACAGCTCACCCGAAGGGAACAATCAAGGGAGTAGAACTACAAACTCCAGAATCACACCGATGTGTAAAACCCCAAGGCAAGGATGAAATAGGGCACTTGGATCTCTGAAGTCACCGGCTGGGCCCTCTTCCAAGTGTACTTTACTTCCTTTCATTCCTAGTCTGAAACTTTTTTTTCTTTTTTTCTTTTTTTTTTTTTTATTATACTTTAAGTTCTAGGGTACATGTGCACAACTTTTTAACAAACTCTCAGTCCTGCTCCTGCAGTCTTCCCCTGCCTTAAACTTACTTCTGCCCCTCAGCTGAATTCTTTCCTCCGAGGAGGCAAGGATCAGGTGGAGTTTGCTGCAGATCTGTGGGATTTGCCACTGGTAAAAAAGCTTTGTAATAGAAAAACACATTCTTCTAATTTTGAAATAAAACTAAGTTTTACCCAGCCTTTTATCACTGTCCAGGAATGACAAAAAAGTAATCTTTTCTGAACTGCGTCTAATTGTGTTTTATATTTTCCTGCTATGTATTTTCTGAGGATGATGATAACTTAAAAATTTGAGAGTCATGCTATAAATTAAGAAATAATTCACAACAATAGACTTGGGGCAGCACTTAATGCTTAAATATAACACTTAAATATTAAATATAGTTATTTATTATTAACAAATAATTGTTCATTCTGGCAGTTTGGTAAAGAGGATTTAAAATGAATTGCCCAAAAGATCTATATTAGCATTGTACACAAAATATGTGAAGACAATGACACTCTTTGATTTTCTCATGAAACTTTTATGCAAAATTCAGTCTAAGAAATATCATACATAAAGAGGAAAATTTTACCACTATTGCTGTAGTGAAAATGAAGCAAGGTCTTGGTAACTGAGTTAAGCACAAATCTTCTATAAGATCTTGGCAGATAAAGATGGGCAGAGGTGGTACAATAAACTTGGCAACAACTAGCATATTATATGAATGTAAAATGTCTTTCGGTCATATTTGTATAATTCTGTGAAATCACGGAATTTTATAGTGCAGGGTTCCAATTATTATTGTCTACAAGATGAAGATTCTTTTGCCTTAATACGTAAACTCTTAGTTGCTTAAAATCTTTGAGGCTTATTGGCTTTGTGTATGTTTTTGTTGTGTAATTTTTAAGTGTCTTTTTATATATTTTGTGTCTTTTGTCCTGTATCATAGCCCAGAATTTAGAACGGCCTGGTATATAATAGGCTCTTGAGAAACATTTGCTGTTTAATTAATAAATGTCGTTAATGAGAGAAGCAGATCAGAATTTGTGAACATAACTTTTTCTGGAATTTTTGTTTCTGGAAAAACTAAGGCTATATGAGTGGTATTCACAAAGTATAAATGTTGCTACTCCTCACTGGTTCTTGGGAAGGGTATAACCCTGCCGAGAGCAAAGAAGTCACATTTCAGCTTTAACTTTAAAAAAGGACTTTTCAAACACTCTGAAGAAGGTCTACCATCCTATAAAACTTGTGAGAAAAGAACGCTCGGTGCTAGATTTTAAATACCAAGAGAGAGGTCTGGTGAACTTACCATATAATTTTTACTATAATCGACAACATTAGTAAGATGAAAAGTATGAAAAAAAACCCAACAACAACAACAACAGTTTTCTCATGTGATACAAGAGTGCCATAAAAGCCTTTTTCTTGGACCTGAGACTGGGGGTGGAAAGGAGTGAAAATTCAGAGAAACTGTCGAGAAAGCATAGGGCTGCAGTGGGCCCTACCTCCCATGGCTTGCTCTTGATAGAAAAGCGCTGGTGGGTTTCAGAGGTTTAGAAACTGCATTTAAATTCTATGGATTCAATGTCAGGAAACTTCCGTCCACTTTCTGTTTGGAATTCTGAGGAGGCCACCACACAGTAGAGTAAAAATGACGACGTGATGTTTACAGACAGAGGACCTGCAGGTGCCCAGCACACACTCGACTCCCCGTTCCTTCTCTGTCTCTCCAGCACGCATGAAATAGGACAATTAAAGGTCCTATGGCCCTCATAGGAGACACAGAAGATGGCTAAGAAGTGAGAATTAGCATATTGCTAGGGAATTGTTGCCATAGAGACTCAGGAGACTCCATATCCAAGAGTATAAGCTGAGTAACCCAGGGAGAAGGGAGAGAAGACCACATCACAGGGAGTGGGGGAGGAAGCAGTGCCCGTGGGCCTGGCTCTACACATTGAACTTGTGGGAGGGAACGGACCACCAGCTGCTGCCCTCGTGGAACCATCAGCAGTGAGTCAGTGAGGTGTGAGGGAACCCGCGGGAAAACACACCTCAGCGGGGCCCAGGAAGCACCACTAGACAGACCAAGGACAGGTACCCAGGACCAGGCCAGGATACGGAAATGAACACCAAAGTCCTCCTCATGAAAGTGAGATCGTAGACACTACATGGAGGAAGAGAAGGCGGACAGAAAGAATCATCAGCTTACTAAAATTGAATCTTGAATTTAACTAAATACTTGGAAAATTATCAACCACAACTGGCTAAATTCCACTCAAATAACACAAATACATTTCCGGTCTTTGATGGAATTGGCTTTTCCAGGGATAAACTGAATTCGGTTATCAAGAAATCAGCATGAGGGCCAGGTGCAGTGGCTCATGCCTGTACTTCCAATGCTTTGAGCAGCCCAGGCAGGAGAGTCACTAAGTCCAGAAGTTAGAGACCGGCCTGGCAACATAGCAAGACCTCTTCTCTACAGAATAAAAATAAATAAATAAAATGGTTATGCTGAGAGAGAGAACAAAATAAAAATTTTTTGAAAAGAAATAAAAATAAAATATCCAGGTGCACACCTGCAGTCCTCGGTACTCGGGAGGATGAGAAGAGGGTGTCACTTGAGCCCAGGAGTTATAATTGCACCACTGCACTCCAGCCTGGGCACAGAGAAAGACCTCGTCTGTAAACAACAACACAACAACAACAACAACAACAACAAAAACTGCCATAGCAAAGTTGAGGGACAGCACTTCTAAGAGCAATGGATGATAAAATGATGGATTAGAAACAGCGACTTTCCACCCTCAAGAAGATTGCAATCTAGTGGGAGAAACATTTGCATGTAAAAGAAAAGTAAAAACAAAGTATTCCTAAGGAAAATTTGAAAGACTATCAAATGTATAATTACAATGATCCTTAGTTGAAAATTAAAAATTGAAAGGCATGGAGCTGCTTTTTATTCCTATTTCTGTACTAACACTCTACAATAGCAAGTGAATCTTTGGGTGGAGGAACAGTAGGATCTTTTGGGATTTTTCTTTTCAGTGGCAGAAGGAGAAAGTCAATGATTGTAAGGCCATCTCTAAATTACTTAAAATTCTTTCAGACATAGTGTTCTGTATACTGGGATGACCATCACAGATCTCAAAGGTTAAATGTAATTATGTTTCTCAGATACTTTCTAGACTGTTGATATTTGGGTAGATAGCTAGATTATATGATTCTCGCTTCTCTGAAATTAACAATGGTTTTAGATATTGTAACCCAAGAGAATCACAATACAGCAAAACCGAGCTTGTGCAAACTGCAAGGTCTTTAGATGTTATTTTAATTTTTTAACTATGTGATGGAACTATATATATCATGTATCTATGAATAATTGTAATTTAATATTTCACCCTTATTGTGTAACATGGGATAGAATCATCAAATGTGTGAGTGAGCAACACTGTAATGTCCCTAAAAAGGCTCTATTATAATCCATTACTCATTCCTGAGCTGACCATTGTAAAGATACCAATACTGATATCTAGCTATAAAAACCATTCTGGAATTGTTTGCTACACCATAGTAATCGTTCTTTATGTGTTACAAAGGGATTAAAAATTAGTGGTCTTAAGAAAATCCTTATCAGTAAGATCTGTTTGGCAACTTCTTTTGTTTAGACTGCGGAGGATGTCAGCTTTAACCGTGGACATTTAATACATATTAGTCCATTTCCTTTCCCTTTCACAAATCTTATCTAAGACCAAACAAGCCCATTGTGTCATTGATAATACTGTATGAAAAGGGAAGTCAGGACCAAGTTTCATAATCTTTCTGATTTTAAACCTAAGGACTAACCTCAAGATTCTCTTATTTGTATATGAAAACAGCACTTTTTATTACTTTAAACATACAACCAATTCTTGTAAAAGAAACTCCAACAAACTTCATGTTTAAGAAAATTAGTAGAGGGATTTGACTGACCTTTATAAAACAGAGCTGAACTTTGCCTTTTAATATACATGTGAAACAAGATATACTAATGCAATTGAAAATTAAGATATTCAAGGGGGTTGAGGGAGTAGCAAGAACTATAAATAGCATTACAAAAGAAAATATGCAATCTCCCACGTATCTGCAAGTGAAAATTTAAACGGAGAAAATTATGGTTTATGATCATATTTTACTTGTCATTATATAAAATTTCCAAGGCAAAATTTTAGATGGATATGAATTATGGTTATTTGGACTCATAGAATGTTTAGGCTGGAATATCTGACCAACTCCACCTAATTTAAACAAGACACATTCTAGGACAATGTTTGCTGCTTTTGCCCACAATTTTATCTTTAGCTCTTGGTGTCTTTCTCTGCATTTAACACTAAATTCAATACTTTTTTATTGAATTAAATACATTCAATTAGGCATTGTTCTAGACATTGAAGATTCTTTTGTGATTTATACACTATGACTAAAGAGACATTAGAATAAAAACATTTCAAGCTACTCATTCTACAGAGAAGGAAACCAAGATCTTGCAAGATAGCAACTTTGGCAATGTCTCATGACTGATTAGTT